TTCAACAAGTATTTATTGAACTCTACCATGTAGGCACAATGTATGGTGCTAAGGATCCCATGGTAGGAAAACATAGCCCCCCACCCTGTCCTCATGGAGTTCACAGTCTGCTCAGTGAGACCAGGTTCTGCTGTGTGACCTTACACAGTGCCTCTGAGCTTCATCCATTTATTCATTCGTATTTGCTGAGCATGTACTATGTGCCAGGCACTATGTGCTAGATGCCAGGGATATAGCAGTGAACAAGCCAGACACAATCCCTGCCCCCCTGGAATTTCCTGTCTGGTAGGAGAGAGAACTTGAACAAGTAATTCTAAGTAGGTCAGACATTTCAGAAATGAGAGCATAGGCCAGGCACGGTGGCTCGCACCTGTAATCCTGGCACTTTGGGAGGCCCAGGCGGCGGTGGTGATTGCTTGAGCCCAGGAGTTTGAGATCAGCCTGGACAACATGGCAAGATCCCACCCCTACAAAAAAAATTTAAAAATTAGCTGGGCATGGTGTCACATGCCTGTGGTCCCAGCTACTTAGGAGGCCGAGGAGGGAGAATCTCTTGACCCTGGGAGGTTGAGGCTGCAGTGAGCTGAGATTATGCCAATGCACCCTAGCTTGAGTGACAGAGCAAGACTCTGTCATTAAAAAAAAAAAGAAAAATAAATGATTGTGTACCAGGGCCTGCTGGTTCTGTATCATGGAGACAATAGTGATATCCTCAGAGGGTTAGTTCAGTTTTCCAGAAACATTTATCTGAGAATGTTATATGTGCCAGGCACTGTTCTAGGTGCTAGGAAACACTGATGAATAAGACAGACAATTACATATTGATGAGTAAGTCCCTGCTTCCAGGAGTCTCCCAGTCCTTAGGGGTAATAAGGAGTAAGCAAGTCAAGGTCAGGTACCTGGAATGTTCTAAGGACTCCCTCCAATCATTGGACATCTCCCTCCCAATCCAGAAGATTCCCTGGAAAACCAACTCCCAGGGACACACCAAGAGTAGAAAAGAGATCAATGATCCCCATTAGTAGGGAATGCTTTGTGGGGTATGGGGTCCTCCAGGATGGGGCGGCTGGTTCCAGCAGACCCAGATACCCCACGAGTCTCTGGACTTCTGTGCCAAGTGGATAGAAGAAAGCCAGTTTCAATGGGAACTCTCTGCTCTGCTACCAGCTGCTTCCCTGGACTCCAGCTGTGGCTTTTCAGGAGAGGCCAAGGCCCTCCTTGGTACATTATCAGAACTTTCTGATCCCAGGGAAATCCACACGTGTGTATCAGCAAATGGGGGCTGCTAGGGCAGTGTGTCTTAAGTCAAGGGGCCTGTTATCACACAGACATGCACAGAAAACTTTGACATAAGAACTTTGCGGAGGAAGACTATGGGCTGATCCCAGCCCCTGTCCACTGTCAGGCCATGGTCAGTTGGTGGCTGATGGTGTACGCATCCATCTGTGCTTGCACTCCAATACAACAGAACATAAAGGAAAAATCTGGGCCAAGATCAATAAAGACAAAGACCAAAGACAAGAGCTGGGATAAAAAGAAAGCACATCAGAATTACTCCTTCAGTCCCTCGGTACTTTTTCTTTGCCTTTCTTGTTTTCTATCAATTATCCAGCTCAATATATTCAACAGATATTTTGGGCATAAGTTCAATGCCAGGCAATTTTCTATGTACCATGGAAACAGCAAATAATCAAACGAGAGCCCTTGCTGGTAGAGAGCTTACATTTAAAAGGCAGATACGTTTAAACAACAACTATGTGCCACGTGACAGATGGTGACAAGTCCTGAGGGGGACGAAGAAACAAGGATGAGGGATAGAGCTATGTGGGTGTTATTTGACATAAAATGACCAGAGAAAGTCCCTCTGCTGAGCAGAGGCTAAAAGAAGTAAAGGAGTGAACCAGGGGCATATCTGAAGAGCATTGCAGGCAGTCGGAATAGCAGGTGCAAAGGTCCTGAGGTAGGATCTTGTGTCTTTACTGTAAGGCTCACTGCTTTCACTTGGACAGCCATAAGTTTGAGGAATTGCTCACTGCAGAGGGTCTGGGAGTGCTTTTTATGAATTTATTCACGTGTTTACTCAAGAAGTACTTACTAGGTACTGATTAGGACTGCAGAGACAGGCTCTCTGTCCACAGATATCTTTTATTTATTTATTTATTTATTTATTTATTTGACAGAGTCTCACTCTGTTGTCCAGTCTGGAGTGCAGTGGTGTGATCTCAGCTCACTGTAACCTCCACCTCCTGGGTTCAAGTGATTCTTCTGCCTCAGCCTCCTGAGTAGCTGGGACTATAGTCATGCACCACTATGCCCGGGTAATTTTTGTATTTTTAGTAGAGATGGTGTTTCACCATGTTGCCCAGGCTGGCCTCAAACTCCTGACCTCAAGTGATCCACCCACCTTGGCCTCCCAAAGTGCTGGGATTACAGGCATGGGCCATCACACTTGGCCTCTGTCCACAAAGATCTTAACAGCCTTCAGAGGTAGACAGATAAGTTGGCAGGTGAGTGTAATTGGAATCAGCCCTGCGAGGCCTAGGAGCAGAGAAGAGGAGTGCCGGTGGAGTTAGGAAAGGCTTCCTGGAAGAGGTGATAACGTAGGATGAGGCTGGATGAAGAGTGATGCAGGCTGAGGGAATAGCGTATGCAAAGGCTTGAAGATGAGGAAGAGGCCAGACAACCACAAATTATAGCAAGATGCTGCCTCTACAAAACAATTTAAAAATTAGCTAGATGTGGTGGCCAATAACCGTAGTCCCAGCTACTCAGGAGGCTGAGGTGGGAGGATTATTTGAGCCCAGGAGATCAAGGCTGCAGTGAGCCTATGATCACATGACTACACTGTAGCCTGGGCAACAGAGCAAGACCCTTGGTCAAAAAAAAAATTACCTTCATAAGGAATGGTGGCCCGAATTTGGATTGGTGAGGTGGAGATGGAGAGGAAAGGATTATTGGAAATGGGGGCAGAGGGAGAAAGGAAGGAGCTTAGAAAGGAAGAGGCCAAGTTTCCAGCTTGGATGACTGGGAGGGGAGTGGCACCTTTGACTAAAATATATTATACAATGAGGAGGAGGAGATTTAGGGGACTTGATGAGCTCAGTGTTGCACTTGCTGAGTTTGAGGTGTCTCAAGCATCTCAGCGGCAGTGAGAGGTCCAGCAATCAATAGGTAGATGGAACTGAAGTTCAAGGGAGTAGCGAAAGCTGGGGATACAGATTCAGAACTCAGCAACCTGGAGATGGTATGTGAAACCATGAGATAACTTGATACCTCCCAGGGAGAGTTTATGAAGTGACAAGAAAAATGGGACCTAACTGGCATTCTTAGGGACAGGATCTTGTAGCAACAGAACAGAAATCTCCAAGTAGAAATAGGAGACTCAAGAAAATACTATCATGCGGAGTCAAGGAAATGCAAGGTACCCGGAAAAAGCAGTAGGCAAATCCAATCACAAAGGAGCAGAAACAAAGTACCCAGTGGATTTGGCTATAAAGTTGTAGCTGCATGGTTCAGATTGGAATGGTGAGGCCAGAAGAAGGATGGAGGAACTGACTTTGAAAAGGAGGAAGATCACCTTATTAAAAGTTGAAGGGGGAAGAAGTGGAGGACAGAGACCAGTATTTATATGTTTATAGGGAAAGGAGCAAGGTCAGGTGTTGTGGCCTAAATTGTTTTTGAAGTAGGGTACAAGATATCTGCTGAGAAAAGTGGTGTGAGCGGGTGATGATAGCCGTAGAGACCATTTAAGAGGAATGGGAAGGTTAAGAGTGGCCACTGGGGAGACTGGGATGGGCACCTGGCCAGATTGAATGGATCAGTGGCCTATTTAGTGAACCCAGTTGTCATAAGTTCCACATTATAGAGACTTTTCTCCAGTTGCTTTGGGAGTAGAGAAGGTGGCTTGTAGCACCTTTCATTTTTCCAGGTTGAGGTTTTGTAGAAGGTGTTACCAATGCCAAGACTCTCCTGTTCCCTTGTCCCCAGTTGCCTTGGCTCCTTAAGGAGTCCCAGAGTGACAGAGAAGAAACAGTGGCCATTTTTTTCTGCAAAAGCTTTGGTTCTTTTACGAAGTCCATGATTTCTACCATGCCATGAAAGCCCAGTCCAAGCCTGGAGTTATTAAGTCCAAGATCCTCTACAGCGTCTTCTCAGTCTCATGCCTTCCAATCTCTAGGGCAGCCTACATATCAAAAGGGATTTACAGGGGCTACTCTGATGCTTCTTTTGTCCAGGAACCTTTGTCTGTCCTTTGCCATTCCAAAATCCATCACCACCAAATTAGCCATTCCAAAACTCCTTAGCATTAGAAATCTGGAGTTGGGTAGAGTCTATGGACCAAGAAATGGAATTTTGTGGAAACATCCACACTCCCTTCCTTCTTTTCCTATTTATCCTCTTAGTCTAACTGGCCCCAAGCTCAGTGGCCTTCAGACAGAAGCAGAAACGTTCCAAGATGATTAGCTAGGAACACAAGGTACAGTTGAAAATCCATTGTGCAAACAAGTGCCTGTTTGATTTTCTCTTCACTTCCCTTTGGGTATTAAGCTTCCTTTCAATTCGTGTTTGGTTTCTGGTAATAAATATGGCACCAGTTTCATTGATTGATTAGGAAGATTAAATGTGAGAAGTCATGGACGCAAAGTAGTGCCCAGCATGTTCAGCATTCAGCACACAGCACTATTGTTTGTAGGAAGCATTTGCACGATGCTGAGACAGCTGGAAGGGTTTACATTGTGAGGGGAGGGCCCTTCTTTCACCATCCTTTGCGTAAATGGCTTATCTCACCTCCACTCAACAAGCCCAGTGTATGGCCTAGAACTCCCATCATACCTGTGCACCAATTGAGGAGAGACACATGGGTGGGAAATTGCAATAAAAAGACAGCCCACAGCAGGCTGCATTCCCATGGCTGGCAGAGGAGAAGGAACGCTTTGTGTTCTCATCGGAGGTAAGTCCTGCTTTAAGCCTCAGGAGGCTTTCTCCTAATCCTGGGAAATCTTGATCCACTGGACTTGCTAGGGTTCTTTGTTTCTGGAAATTTTTAGAACCCAGCAAGGAGTTTGGATCCTGGCCATTGTCAAGTGCTCCAGGTACCACTCTATATCCAACTCAGCCATGCTTTCAGTCACCTGCGATGTTCCAGGCCTATAGTTGCCACCCTTTCCCTTGCCCCAGATACTCCCACCAGGGAACTAGGTCTCTATTGGGATCTCATCTCTAAGAATCACCAATCCTGGGTGCTCCCCTATCCCTGCTGCCTCGTAGCATACTCATGATATCCCTGCCAGAAACCGATCTCTATTTTCCACTGAAGTCTTCCAGAGGTTGTAGGAAGTTATCCAAAGATTTGGCCATTCAGGGAAAGGATTTCCCAGAAAAGTAAACGCCATCCAAATGCTGGCAGGCTTTTTGCAGCTCTTTCTTTCTGCCTCGCCACTGCTCCCAACCCCCATTGATTTATTTATTCATCCCTTAATCCTCTAATGAGTACCCCTTGTGTGCCAGATTCTGTACTAGGAGCAAGGAACATGGGGCTCGGTTTGGCATGGTTCCACACTCACAGAAATCTACATGCATAGAGGACATTTCAGGGGGCTCTTAACAGCACCCAGTGCATCAAACTAAGAAAGGGCAGCCATTACTTTTGTGTGCAGATATTCACAGGCACCGTATCCCTCTTTCTCTATCCAATCTCCAGAGAGCCTCTACCTCCACCTGAGCAGGGACCATCCTGAGACCTTTCTAGGACATTCTGCAGTACTAGCCAGCTCTGAGCTTGTCTTTGGTTTGCTTACTGTCAACTTTATCTCCCATTATCTTGCTTCATCTGTCCACAAGTCACACCTACTTTGAAACAATGCAGCTCTTCATGAAGGAAGTCAACGGATCTGTTTCTAAGAACATAGTCTTATGCCCTGATCTTATCTGGGTGTTTCGTTTCCGTAGCTGCACGGCAAGTCTGCATACAGCAAAGTGACCTGCATGCCTCACCTTATGGAAAGGATGGTGGGTTCTGGCCTCCTGTGGCTGGCCTTGGTCTCCTGCATTCTGACCCAGGCATCTGCAGTGCAGCAAGGTAAGTATTCTGCTCACTTGGCATCTCAGATATCAAGGAAGACCTAGCAAGTGAGGATAGAAGTGCAGAGAAGGTGGCTCACGTAAGGAAGAGGAATTGGCAGTTCTAAAGCAAAAACTCAGAGCTAGAAATCAAGGGAAACATAGTGAGACACAATGGAAATCAAGTCACAATCATGTCTCAAAGAATCTAATCAGAAATTCCCTTGAAACGGCAGTGGGAGCCAGTTAACATAACTTCCCATGCCCATATCTTTGGGAGATCAGAGATCCCAGATTAAAGAAGATCAAGAAATACACAACTTAGTCACCTTGTACTGGAAAGCACCTTCTTCTTTTCCTGAAAGGGCTAGATTAAATGATCTCTTTATGAATTGGGCAATTCAGATACTTGCAGAAAGGAGTCTCAGACTTAGAATTAAGAGTGCAAATTTCAGCCCTGTGGAGGAGGGTGGGTGAGGGAATTGAACTCATTGGAGGCCTCCAGTGGAAAAATGCAGGGTGTGCAAGAAGTAATCTAAGAACAATAAATGCAGGGATTCCTTGTCTTAAGCACACACATGAGAAAAGTTTGAAAATCTCTTTTTCTGAAAGGCCCTTCTGATGTGTATTATAAGCATGTGCAAAACTTGAAAATCTATTTTTTTAGAAAGCCCCTTTAACGTGTATTATAAGCACATGATCCTGTGTGTGCACTTAGCTCCTTCTTCAGGCATCTACAGCATTCAACAAATCAGAACTAGAGAAGAGAATTCGCTTGACCCTGGTGCTCTGCTTGGCATTTTACACATATTATCTCACTTAATCCTCTAACAATCATTTAAGGCTTTCTTTCTCCAAATGAGGTGTATATATTCCAAGATGATTTGGGGGATGCCTGGCAAACTCTTAACAAGTTTTTCATGGTTTTATGTTTATTTTTTATGCATATCTAAAAAATATAACTAGCACATGATATCTATGTTATCACAGATATTATTCTTTAAGATGAAACTAATTCTTAGAGATAATCATTGAAAGAAACATTTTAAGTCAATAATAGGACAGGCAAACACATGTATGGCAAAGGTCATGACCCAAGGCATAGGAATGGATAAAGTTTGAGAACCACTAGTTTACAGACATGGTTTTGCCAATGAGTCTCAGGGGACTGAAGTCACCTGCCAAGGTCACCCAGCGAGCAAGTGTGGAATTGGATTTAAAGTCACCCCGACCAGCCTGTGGTCTTCCTCTTTCACTTCTCTGCCTCTTCATACATCACATTTCTAAAACTGTTTTGAAAAATGATAGATCAACAATCAGAAATGGTCTTGTTAGGTCAGTGGTTCTCAGTTGGAGGCGATATCCCGCAGGGGACATTTGGCAATGCCTGGAGACCACTTTGGGGCATGCCGCTGGGATCTGGTAGGTAGAGACCAAGGATACTCCTAAACATTCTATAATGGACAGGATGGTTCCTCCAATAAACAATGACCCAGCCAAAATGTCAAGAGTGCCAAGGTTTGGAATTCTTACATTAGATTGTGCTACTGGTATGGAAAAATGTCTATGTTATGTTAAGTAAAAAATGCAATTGGAAAAAAAGATGTTGTACAGAATTAAACTTATTTTTATTTTTAAGAAAGCAATATATTTTAAACATGCCTAAGAAGAATCTGAAGGCTACATAACAAATTTATTGTTACTTCTGGGGATGAGATGGGCTTATGGCAACTTTCATTTTTGCTTTATTCATTTTAATGATGTTTGAGGTTCTTTTTCAGTGAGCCTGTATTACATTTATAATGAGAAAAACAAATATTAGTCAAACAAGGCTGCTGTGCATGAATGCACAGGAAAGAACTTTGTTACTCTAAGGCGGGGAGGGAGACTGGGCAGGATGGTGGCCCTGATGTCCTCAATGCCTAAAAAATACCGCAGAAGATCCTCACTGGTTATTCTGCCCGCAAGGTGATGAAGTTGATGTTTAATTAATGGATTCAACATTAAACCCAACTGCACTCTGTCACTTTCCCAGGTTATGGAAACCTCAATGAAGCCAGTTCCTATGGGCTGGACTTGGACTGCGGAGCTCCTGGCACCCCAGAGGCTCACATCTGTTTTGACCCCTGTCAGAATTACACCCTCCTGGATGAACCCTTCCGAAGCACAGAGAACTCAGAAGAGAAACAGGGGTGCGATGACAACTTGAGTGGCTGGTACCGCTTTGTAGGGGAAGGAGGAGTGAGGATGCCGGAGACCTGTGTCCAGGTGCGCCGATGCCAGACAGCCGCTCCCATGTGGTTGAACGGGACCCACCCTGCCCTTGGGGATGGCATCGTCAACCGCACTGCCTGTGCCCACTGGAGTGGCAACTGCTGTCTCTGGAAGACGGAGGTGCTGGTGAAGGCCTGCCCAGGCGGGTATCACGTGTACCGGTTGGAAGACACTCCCGAGTGTAATCTGAGATACTGCACAGGTGAGCAGCAGAGCCCTGGAGGAGGCAGCTACACAGCCAGCGAGATGCCCCCCAGGCTCAGTAAAGTGAGTGGAGCAAGTCAAGAGGAGACAGGAGAGGAGGCAGAGCAGCCTTGACTCAGCTCCTGCCCAGTGAGAACACAACACAGGGGTTGTCAGACCTTCCAACATTTCAAGCCAGAAATTCTCATTTAAGGGTGAAATTTCCCAGTTTATAAATGTCTGTAGCATAAAATCCAGAGCTCATGCTCATTCAGATTTTGGCTCCATTTGGGAAGTTAAATTTGCCTCCCTGAGCCTCGGTGTTCTGATCTGAAAAAAAGGGGGTAACGGCAAAAATAACAGCTAACACATAATGCTCACAATGTCCTTGTTGCTATCCTAAGTACTTCAAATGTATTAACTCATTTGATCCTCTCCCCAGTTCCATGAGATAAGTGCTACCTAATTACCACAATGAGGGGCACAGAGACATTCAGGGGCTGTCCTAGTATCACAGAGCGTGGTAGAGCTGGGATTTGAACTTGGCATTCGAGCTCCAGCATCCATGGGCTTAACCGCCATGCTGTCCTTTCTCATTTTGATTAAATGGGCTAATACATTCATTGTCCTTAGAATAGAGTCTTGTCTGTGGTAAGTGGTCAGGTGGCAGCTTTAGGGCTCTCACTTATCCCACTGGACTGGGAGTCAGGAAATCTGAGTTTGAGGCTTAACGCTTCCACTAAGTATCACACAACCTTGGCAAGATTCTTGTGCCCCGGTGGAATGAGGAGGTTGGACTTGGGGGCCTCAAGTCCAGCCCACACTGCGTCCTGATCTTCTCTCTCCATGCCCCATCACCTAGATCCCTCCACTGTGGAGGACAAGTGTGAGAAGGCCTGCCGCCCCGAGGAGGAGTGCCTTGCCCGCAACAGCACCTGGGGCTGTTTCTGCAGACAGGACCTCAATAGCTCTGGTGAGTGGCTCACTGGGCCAGTAACTACCATCCTGAGTGGACAGGGCAGGAGGGAGGGAGCTTTAGATAGTCAGGATAAGGTATAAAGCAGAGTCGGGGGCATGGACCTGAGGTCAAGGGAATGTGGGCTCTCCAATCTATTTGCTGTAAAGCCAGTGGGTTTGCAAGGATAGGAAGGCAGGGTTGGAGCAAAATTTCCAGGTCAGCTGCTGGGCCACGGCCTCAGGAAATGGTTCTGACATGCACAGGCTTGACCCCTGAGGCTGAAGGTACTGAAGATGATAATTCTGCAAATGTAGGAGCTATGTTTTCATAGTCACAGAGTCTTCATGTCAGGGACATGGGCAGACTTCTGGGGACAAGTCACTATTGTCTCTGAGCCTGAATGTCCTCATCTGTAAAATGAGGTTAAGGTGATAATAATACCCACCATACAGGGCTATTGTGAGAACTAAATCAGAGCAGTCCAATTGAGAGGGCTCAGGAGGTGATGAATTTCTCGTCCCAGGAGGTGAGCAAGCAGAGTGAGATGGCCCATGGGTAGGGATGTCATAGACATAGACAAACACTAAGCCCTGGACAGGGGATGGATGAGCCTCCCACTGAGATTATTTCCCTCCATCACTGAACTCTAACAAGGGCCTTTGATCTTGCCCTTGGCACAAGCATGCCTTCCTCTGAGCACACTCCAAGTCCCTATGGAAAAGGGAGTGTTCTAGGCAGCAGGACAAGGAGGAGCATGACACATTTGGAAAACGGAGCTGCAGTGTGAACAGAGCGATGCTTAGATGTGCCCAGCAGGAGCACCCTGGGAAATGAGGGGGAGGGAACAACCAACAACCTTGATCTCCTTAAAGACTCTTTCTGCTCATTGAGTGGATGAGGCCCCAGAGAGTCAGTGTGGTTTTCTGGGGTTTGGGCCCATCACAGAGACAGAACTTGGGCTTTAAGGAGGCCCTCCCTGTACCTGGATGGGCTCCAAGGACAGCCTCAGCTGACTGAGTGAGCAGGTGGCCTGCCTCACGTGTTCATCAGTGGCCAGCAGAATGATGGCTGTCCAGTGGGCCCCATTGCTTGCAGACATATCCCTCTGTGGTCTGACTTTCACTTCCTTCTCCATCTCTCACACCCCACTCTCATTTTAGGTTCCTGCACCTCTGAACTTTGAAATTCCACAAATGCACCATCCCCTCTATCTCATCTCCATGCTTTTGCCTATCCTGTTCCCTTAGCCTGAGATGCTTTCACTTGCTTTACTCACTTGCAAAACTCCTACCCTTCTTTCAAGTTTCACCCCACTGTGAATCCTTCCCTGGCTTCACCAAGAGACTTAGACTTTCTTCTCTGCTCCCCCTGCATCTGTACATACTTCTGTCTGTATCTTTATCATATTGAAGTATAATAAGCTGTGGGTATGTTGGTGTTTACACAAGACCAAGAAATCCTCATAGGCCAAGTCCATGCCTTATTTACTTTGTGTTGAATGCACCTAGCATTTGAGAAGTTGGCTGGTAAAGTGGCTCATGCCTGTAATCCCAGCACTGTGGGAGGCTGAAGTGGGCAGATCACCTGAGGTCAGGAGTTTGAGACCAGCCTGGCCAATATGGCAAAACCCCATCTCTATAAAAATACAAAAATTAGCCCAGTGTGGTGGCACATGCCTGTAATCCCATGCCTGTAATCCCAGCCTCGGGAGGCTGAGGCAGGAGAATCACTTGAATCCAGGAGGCAGAGGTTGCAGTGACCTGAGATTGCACCACTGCACTCCAACCTGGGCAACACAGCAAAACTCTGTCTAAAAAAAAAAGGGGGGGAGAGAGAGAGAGAGAGAGAGAGAGAGAGAGAGAGAGAGAGACAGAAGGTGGTTGGTAAATATATATTCAATCAATGCATTCATGAATGCAATAGAAACTGTCTTCCTATTAGTTTACTATTTGTCTACCCTATTCAAATGTTAGCTCTGTAAGAGCAGGAATTTTGTCAGTTTTGATAAGTGTTGTAGCCCCAGTGCCTGGCAGATAGTAGATGCTCAAGAAGTTGTGTGTTGAATAAATGTTGAGTTAAAACATGATAGCTCTGAACTTGGTCAGATGTGCTGACTCAACAAGGTAGCATATATCTAACTTTGATTCTAGTATGGAATGCAAGTCCATCCTGCCTCCCCAAATAACACAATCCCCAAGAGGAACTAGACCAAAAAACCTTAGCTAAGCCTGCACATAGGACACTTGGAAACCTCGAATGAGGGGCCCCCTTTGCCAGCCTCACCTACTGCCAGTCTAGGCATGAATTCCGTCTGGATCCCAGGGACCTTCTAGTTTACATAATCTTCTGGGTCATGGAGACCTTACCAAAGAGTAGGGAAAGTGGGCTTCCAGACTCATGTCCATTCTACTTGCCTTCATCCCTGCTTTGCAGATCTCCACAGTTTGCAGCCTCAGCTAGACTGTGGGGCCGAGGAGATCAAGGTGAAGGTGGACAAATGTTTGCTGGGAGGCCTGGGTTTGGAGGAGGAGGTCATTGCCTACCTGCGAGACCCAAACTGCAGCAGCATCTTGCAGACAGGCGAGACGAACTGGGTATCTGTGACCAGCCCCGTCCAGGCTAGTGCCTGCAGGAACATTCTGGAGGTAAGTGGCTTTCACACCACTGCTGCCAGAAGGTATGTGTTGGGCTGATGGGACCTATCATAGTAGCTCTGAGATCTTGGACAAGCCACTTAGCTTCCCTGAGCCCCAGGGTTATGTGAGAGTGCACATGTTGGTTTACATAAAGAGCTTAGTGTAAATCTGACATGTGAGTTTCATAAACGTAAGCTGCAATTATGATAATTTTAATTAGGGATGGTGGGGGAGGGATGCACAGAGAAGCAAGCTTGTCGGTTCCTGACTCTTCCCAAGGGTCAATAATTTATTGGTCTAGTTTTTTGTCTGGTGTCCTCATTCCCCTTCCCACAAAGTGTCAGTAACACTGAAGGAGGAGGTCCCTTTACCTCCATGAGCTCGGAAGGTAGGGTGGCTGCATGGTTAAGCACATTGACTCTGGAAATCAGATCTGGATTTGAGATACACCTACATACACTTACACATAAACATCTGTGTGGTTTTGTTTTTATGCCAAAGAGAAATCAAACCCATGCCATCTACAAAAACACCCTCTCCTTGGTCAGTGATTTCATCATCAGAGACACCATCCTCAACATCAACTTCCAGTGTGCCTACCCACTGGACATGAAAGTCAGCCTCCAAGCTGCCTTGAAGCCCATTGTAAGGTATGGCATTGACCCTTGCCCTTTGACCTATAACCTTAGCAATAGTCACATCACACTTACTTCAAGTGTAGACTATGATGCCCACACCATATTACCAACCTCCTCCAGGAGCCTCCAGTCATTCAATCATTCATTCCACAAGTACTCATTGATTGTATATTAAAGATGTTCAGCATGAAGAAGACAGACATAGATTATTCTGTGGATATTAAAGATTGTTATAACTAGGCAATGCAGCAACATGAAACAGTGCTTACTAAATGTGCTAGAAAACAAAAACACAGGACAAGTTCATTCACCTTGAGGAACAAAGGTATTAAGCAACTAATTAAATCAATAATTACTTATAAGCAAGATGAGTGCAATGTAAAAAAAACGTGGGGTGCTTTGGGAGCAGGGAACAGGGGTTCCAGACCCCTGTTGGTGGTGGATTTGATGGGGACAGAACAACTTCCCTGCAGACATGAGATTGAAGCAGAGACCAGCTTTTATCGAATAAACAGGCACCCCATCCCCAGCAGGAATAGCATCAGATAGCAATTTGGGCAGGGGCTTTTCTCTGTTTTGTTGTATTTCTGTGCCTGAAATGGGGTCCTGTTGAATCAGTTCCTTAGCATCCCTAGATTTGCCAGGGGACTTTCTGGGAAGTCAAAAATCCAGAGTGCCCATCTCATTCCTTATTGCCCCCTGGTATTACAAAGCAACAGGATCAGAAGGATTAGCAATTTTCTAATTCAGTGGTTTCCAGATGGTTTGGTGCTGGGGCTCCTGGTTCACAAAAAATGAAAAGGAAAGCCATTTCTGTTGTTAAAATTGGGTTTCACTGAAGACTGTGGAATGGAGGGAAGTGATCTGCTGCTAAAAAAATGTAAACACACAGAACTGGTTCTCAGCCCCACTCTCCAGGTGAGAAGATGGAGGTGTACACTCAGTTATTCCTTCAGTGAGAGATATGTGTGTAACTTGTCCTGCAGGGAGGATCAGTGGAAATCCTGGAGACAGACTTGTCTGTCAAGTTTGGTGCCTAGAAACTAATAAATGCTCCGTTTAAATGAATGATTGAATAGTTCACTTAAGGATCCAAGACATGTGTCTTTGCCTTCATAAGTGTGTTAAGTAAGTAGCAGGGCTTGATTTATGTTGTTCTCTCTGAGGTTCCCACTCTTGTGGCTTTCCTTTTCTCAGCTTCCTGAACGTCAGTGTGGGCGGGGATGGAGAGTTCATTGTTAGGATGGCCCTCTTCCAAGACCAGAACTACACGAATCCTTATGAAGGGGATGTAGTTGAACTGTCTGTTGAGTCCATGCTCTATGTGGGCGCCATCTTGGAGCAAGGGGACACCTCCCGGTTTAACCTGGTGTTGAGGAACTGCTATGCCACCCCCACTGAAGACAAGGCTGACCCTGTGAAGTATTTCATCATCAGAAACAGGTAACGAGCAATTCTAGAATTATCATTTGGCCTTACTAACGTTTACGGGAAAATGTTCGTCTCATCCATCCCTAGCAGATGTGTAAGTTTTATTACATAGCATAACCACACTCTTTGACTCAGAAATATCACTCCTGAGATTTTAGCCTAAAATATTAATACCAAATAGGTGGGTAGGGTGAATAAATGCCAATATTTTTCCATTTCAATATTCTTGATAACTTTGGCAACAGGCTTATTGTTCAAAAGTAGGGAATCAATTTGGTAGTAATGGATTATTACACCGAAGTGAACACTGGGTCAATATGAAAACAATATGATAAATGTTGTGGGATGAAATATTATTGAACATGCCCGGCTGACAAAAACAAGGGGAAAATGCATTTCTATAGATCACGATTTAAATTATAGTAATAATCCTAGCTAATATTTGTCATTGAGCTTAGCTATGTGCCAAGAAATATATGTGGGTTATCTGATTAAATGCTCACATCAGTCTCATAAAGTGTATATTACTGTCTCCACTTTACAGATAAGAAAAGTAAGGTTCAGTAAGGATGAGTAACCTGCCCATAATCACTTAGCTAGAACATGGGTTGGGCTAGAATATAAAATCAGTCTGTTTCACTCCAGAGACTGTGCCCCCAAATAATTTAAGCCATGTGAGTTTATGGATATATCTTGGAGGAAACAGAGGAACAGAAAAAGTCCACTTTATCATGATGGAGGGAACCCGAGGGACTCTTTAATTTTCTCCACTGCTATTTTAAGAAGTTACACCTTTGTCCCTGTCACCCTCCCAGCTGCTCAAATCAACGTGATTCCACCATCCATGTGGAGGAGAATGGGAGATCCTCGGAAAGCCGGTTCTCAGTTCAGATGTTCATGTTTGCTGGACATTATGACCTAGTTTTCCTGCATTGTGAGATTCATCTCTGTGATTCTCATAATGAACAGTGCCAGCCTGTGAGTTTCTCTTTGAACTGAACTCTTCAGAGCCCGGCATGGAGCCTGGTACCTGATAGACTCTCCATATATATTTATTGCAATTATGAATGAAGGGAAGGTGGGAGGGAGGGGAAAGGGAGGGAAGGGAAGGGAAAGGGGAAGGGGAAAGAGAAGGGGAAGGGAACTGAAGGAAGGAGAGAAGGGAAGGGAATGGGAAGGGGAAGAGGAAGGGGAAGAGGAAGGGGAAGAGGAAGGGGAAGGGAAGGTTAGAGAAGGGGATGAGGAAGGGGAATGAGGGAAGGAAGGGAAGGGAGTCAGAAGGGAAGAGGGGGGAAAAAGGAATACAGGAGGGATGGAGAAGGAAAGGAGGAACAGGAAAGGAGAGACGGAAGGGAGCAGGATGAAGAGACAGAAAGAGATGGGTAGGTGTGTGGATGGGAGGGAGGTAAGGACGAAGGATAAATACATATACTCTAGGTCTCCTAAAGGCCCAAATCTAAGCAATTTTTCTGTCCCCAGGAGGCAGATTTGATAAAGAAATCTATCTACTAGATTCCATTGGCATCTCTTAAATGATTATAATCATAGATGACGTTTTTAGTGCTTGCTCTTTGTCAAGCACCACGCTAAAACTTCTGCATACGTTTTCTCATGTAACTCTCAGAACAACCCTGTAAGCAGATTATTTTATCTACCCCACTGTGAGGGTCAGAGAAGTCCTTGCCCACAGGGCCACACACAGTTAGAAAATATCAGAGCCAGGGTGTGCCCCAGCCGAGAGGTGACTCCAGTGTCCCTGCTCTTGCCTGCATTTGGCACTGCCTGTGAATAGTTGGTATTTTCCAAGTGCTTACTTTGTGCCCACGTGTTGCAGGCACATCTCATTTTCATCTTCACAACCAGGTGGGTACTATTTAGTTATTGTAGAGAGGCAAAGTCATTGGCCCCAAATTATATAGCTAAAAGAAAGTCTCTACTTGATGAGATTCAAACCCAGATTTGTTTGGCATGACAGTGATAATTTTCTAGATTGAGATAACCACAGCATCGGAATTAGGGCCATAGCATGAACCAGTTCTGGACCCAGTTCTTGGTCCAGAGTTGCCCATTGCAGGAGCAGTCTAGATAGAATCCAGGCATTTAAATTTTGATATAATAAAAGTTCATCATCCCTACAGTCTTGCTCAAGAAGTCAAGTCCGCAGTGAAGTACCGGCCATTGACCTATCCCGGGTTCTAGATTTGGGGCCCATCACTCGGAGAGGTAAGTGGCCAAATCCCAGTGACAAGACCTGCTGGCTGAGTGTTGACACTTAACCACAGATGCCTGGGGTCACCAGCCCAACTTCTCAGGGCTTTGCTGCCACCTCAGTCTGACCCTTACTGAAAAACCTATTCTTTGAGATGCTTTGGGTAATAATAACAATATTGTCATTTGGACCTCCTGTGTGCTTAGAGACCAGGCTAAGCTCTTGCATCCATCAATTCACTTAATCCTCCTATGCCTGTGTCCATGTTACAGGCGAGAAACTAAGACTCAGAGAGATTAAGTGACTCGCCAAGGATCCCCCTACTCATGAGTGGCTAGAGTTAGGATTGAACCCAGCTCAGTCTGATGCCAAAACATGTGGCCTTTTCCTTATTCCACCTGTTTCCAGGTCCCCATAACTCAGTTCCTTACAGGTGAAGTGTAAGTCCTAAATCCCGTTTAAATGCAACTTTGTTTTCTGGTGAATGATTGTGTTTTCCAAAATTCATTTATGGTATTCTGGAGTATAATATAGGGGAGGCTTTCCAATGGCTCCTCATATTTTCATCCATCCTACTCATGGATTTACAGTAGTGTTTCTTTAGTGTTTTTATTTCCACCAGGATGGAGAAGTGGAAGAATGAAAGCCTTTTTTTTCCCCCTAAAGAAATTAAGATGCAGTAATGTTGGTACTAATAATACTTTCCTTGTGCCTGGCACTTTGTCAAATGCCTTTATATGCACGATCACTTTGAATGCTCACAGCAGGTGAGGTAGGTAAAGCATTATCACCATTTCCATTTTCCAGAACAAACAGAGGCTGTCTCATGAAGAAGGCTCTTCCCTGAGTTTTCCTACCATTTTACTGAGCTCTCAACTTGAAGCCTCAAGTGGCATCACAGGGTAACTTGGTGGAGGTTAAGAACTTTCACTTTTGAATCAGACATACTGGGGTTTGAATCCCAGCTCTGCTACTGACTGGAAAGGTCAATTTGGCAAGTCCCTTAACATCACTGAGCTCCAGTCTTCTCATCTGTCAAATGGGGATGAGAATACTTTCCTCACAAATCTGTTAGGAGGATTAAGTCTAAGATGCATGCAATGTGTCTAGAAAGGTGCCTGTGCCAGATCATAGATGTCCCCACAATGTGGATGGCCAGTGGTTGTGATGGCCAGGTCTAGGAGGATGTGAAGCAGTTATGGCCACAGTGCTGCAGTCACTGGAGCATGACTGAGGAAACCCTCTCCTTCTGTTCTTGTTCACAGGTGCGCAGTCTCCTGGTGTCATGAATGGAACCCCCGGCACTGCAGGTACATCATTTTCTCGTGCCTTTCCCATACCTTTCTCAACTCTCCTTTCTCTTTTCAATTCTGCCCCTTTTACGGCCCAGACCCTATGCTAGGGATACTGACATTAATCAGACCCAAGATTGGCCTTTGAGATGCCCACAGTCTAGTGGAGGAGACAGTCCTTTGATAAGAAATATGTACTGTGTGCCAAGTCTTGTTCTAGGCACTGAAGATGTGATGGCAAACAAAACAGCCCAGGTGCCTACCCTCATAGAGCTTATGCACCAGTGTGGAAAGTAGAAAATAAGAAGTAAACATGGTACTTTGGAAATACAAGAAAGTGATGTGATAGAAGAGTAATAATGCCTTAAAATAGACATTCATTTCTTTTTTTTCAAACTCAAGAAGTTTTTATTTCTTTTTTAAAAATTCATTTTACTTTAAGTTCTGGGATACATGCGCAGAACATGCAGGTCTGTTACATAGGTATACATGTGCCATGGTGGTTTGCTGCACCCATCAACCCGTCATCTAGGTTTTAAGTCCCACACGCATTGGGTATTTTTCCTAATGCTCTCCCTTCCCTTGCTCCCCATCCCCTGGCAGGCCCTGGTATGTGATGTTCCCTTCCCTGTGTCTGTGTGTTCTCATTGTATAGATGTTCATTTCTGTCACACATAAATGAAGCTTAGAGGCAAACTATCCAAGGCTAGTGGGGTAGTACCATAAAGCTGTCAAAGATCCAGACTCCTTCCAACTCATGCTTCCACCATCTTTGAGGTGTGGCCATCATCTTCATGTTCCAAGATGGCAGCCAGAGCTCCAACCTTTGTATCCAGGCAGCAGGATGGAGGGAACAAGGAAGAAGCCAATGAGTGTTAGAAGACATTCCTGAAAGCTAGCACCTTATACCTCCATTTACTTCTCATTGGCTGGTGCTTAGTCACATGCCACACCTTGCTGCAAAGGAAACTAGGAAATGCAATCTTTACTCTGGGTGGGCCGTGTGCCTAACCGATGTTTGATGGCTTTATTATCAAGGTAGGAAGGAAGAAAGACTGTCAGAATGGATAAGTGGTCAGAAAAAGTTTCAGAATAAGTGATGTTTAAGCCAAATGAGAAAAATGAGTCGGAGGTGCAAATGTTAGGGGAACGAGCTCTATATGCATGGGAACACTAACAATTCATTGCACAAGTGAGACAGGCACTTGAGCAAATAAATGACAAGTAGGTAGATGCTACAGAAAGAGTACATAAAAGGCTAATTAACTGTATTGGATAAGGTCTGGAAAGAATTTCACCAGGTAGTAACATCTGAATGGGTTTTTGATTAATGACTTGGAGCTAAACAAGATGACTAATAAAAGAAATATCACACACACACACACACACACACACACACACACACAGCGAGACAGAGAAAGAGAGAGAGAACATTTTTACATTTTTTACATATTTATAGGGTACTAGAAATGTGTTTTGGACAAAATGGAAAGCACATACTATTAAGATTTGCTTTCCCACAAAATGACCTATATTGGTGAACCCAGATATGAAAAGGTTCTTTCTATCCTTAAAGCCCAAACTTAGATGGCAGTTTTTAAATTGCCCAAGTAAGTCCAAGATGGACTCTATGTTCAGTACCAGTATTCAGACAATGCTAAGAAAAGTCACGCTCATTGAGAGGAGTGGTTAGAATTCATTCTAAAAGCAGGTTAGGCCAAGTGCGGGTGGCTCATACCTGTAATCCCAGCACTTTGGGAGGCCAAGACAGGCAGATCACTTGATGTCGGGAGTTTGAGACCAGCCTGACCAACATGGAGAAACCCTGTCTCTACTAAAAATACAAAATTAGTTGGGCATGGTGGCGCGTACCTGTAATCCCAGCTGCTTGGGAGACTGAAGCAGGAGAATCGCTTGAACCCAGGAGGAGGAGGTTTCAGTGAGCTGAGATTGCGCCATTGCACTCCAGCCTGGGCAACAAAAGTGAAACTCCATCAAAAAAAAAAACAGCAGCTTGAAGTCAGGAACCTCAAGTCTCATTCCTTTCTGCCAGTCCTTCTGGTTAGACCAGTGCCTGGAACACTGTGGTTTCCCAGTACAGTTTGCCAAATTGACTAATTTCTAGGATGAGTGGTAGATTTTGGATGCTTCTGGACAAGGAGGGGATCAGTCTGATGCTGAGGCAGCCTACCCACTACAAGAGGGCACTTGTGGTTTTCATTGTCTGCTATCACAATCATCTTTGATGTTTTAGAATTAATTGAACATCAACCTGTTTTATAATTATAACTTTTTGTCATGAATTGTGTCTGAAATTTACATTTCTCTCCTCACTTCTAGGACGTCAGCCAATTACTTTGAAATTGGGTTAATGGGGAGATTTTATAATTTGGTAGTATGGCAGGAAGGCTCACATGTTTCTCCTAGGCCCTCCGATACAAGACAGTTATCATCGGGGATCCATGTCCTTCACCGAAACTGAGTACACAGTGATGTGCCAAAGAGATACAATCTCAGCAGAACTAGATCTTAGAGTCTAACTTTTAAAACCAACATTTATATAGTGTTTACCATGTGCCAGGCGCTGATCTCAATGCTTAATGTGAACTCACTCATTTAAGCCGTACAAAAATCCAGTGAAGTCACAGGAGCTATTAATATTTCTCTTTGGCATACAGGAAAATAAAGGCAGAGAGGTTTAATAACTTTTCTGGGACTGCCCAGCTAGGTATAGAGCTGAGATTCTAAGCTAAGTAATCAGGCCTCAGAGGCAGTGCTTTTTAACCTCTGTGTCTTTCTGCCCCTTCAGTATTAGTCAGCATAAGTAATGCTAGCTGCTATAACAAAGAGTCCCCAATCTTCTGTGTCTTTACACAACAGCATTGTTTCCCACTAAATCACTGGGGGAGGGGATGCAGTTCTACTCCATGTAGTCATTAGGAGCTCGGGCTTCTACTACCTTCTGGTAACTTCTGGCAACTCCACTATCCCCTGCAAGTCCTATCTTGGATACTCTGCATCTGCTCCCTTAGATGGTAGATGCGAGAGCAACAGGATATATAAGAGGATTTAAGGATCAGACATAGAAATGGCACAGATGACTTCTATGTACATTTTATTGGCCAGATTCAGTCACATGGCCCCACCTACTTGCAAAGGACACTGAGAAAAATTGCCTTACTGTGCATCTAGAGGAAAATGGAAAAAAAATTTTGGTGATTAGATAGCTTTGCCTCTACCATGTGAGTCTCAGAGACTATAACCAGGCCAGATATTAAAGATGCTTTGCCTTTCTCATCCTGGTGTTGCAAAAGACAAAGAGGCCAACTTACGTTTACTCCTGACTCCCAAAGCCCAACACTTGACAGTCATCTTTCTTGTATTTCAGGGTTCCTGGTGGCCTGGCCCATGGTCCTCCTGACTGTCCTCCTGGCTTGGCTGTTCTGAGAGCTCCACTGAGCATCTGGCCTTGAAGTTGTGTTCTTCCCTCTGGCAATGGCTCCCTTCACCACTTCTGCTTTCCACTCCAATTCACACAGTCTTGGTATTAACAGACTCAAGGCCAGGCTAGGTTTTCGGGAAAGGGAAGAACTTTCACCTTCTTTAAAATTCTCGGCTGGGCGCCGTGGCTCATGCCTATAATTCAGCCACTTGAGAGGCTGAGGCAGGTGGCTAACCTGAGGTCAGCAGTTCAAAACCAGCCTGGCCAAAATGGTGAAACCCCGTCTCTACTAAAAATAACAAAATTTGCCGGGCATTGGGGCAGGCACCTGTATCCCAGTTACTTGGGAGGCTGAGGCAGGAGAATCGCTAGAACCCGGGAGCGTAGGTTGCAGTGAGCTGAGATTGTGCCATTGCACTCCAGCCTGGGTGACAGGGCAAGATCTTGTCTCAAAAAAAAAAAAAAAAAGGCAACATGTGGGGTTCCTGGTCAGTCTGTACTGGGCTGCCCTTCTCATTTGTTAATGGACCCTTGAAAGCAAGCTTGCTAGGTGCCCTCTGTGGCTTTAGCCTTTACAGAAGTGTGGCGCATGTTTTTAACTCCAGAGAAGAGGTATCCTGTCACTAGGGTATGGGATGAGCATGGAGAAGAAGCACCGGCCATGATTCCTTCCTAAGCATTCCCTGTCTGACTGCTCATGATTGAAGAGACTGACCCTTGCATTCACTCTGTTCTCTGATTGTTTGTATCTATGGTTTCCAAAAATCCCCATGGGAAACATTATCAAAAGGCGACTTTTGGGAGACTCTGCTCCAGAAACACTAGTCCCATAGCTCCCTGTCCCCCACTATACAGAACCGATGCATGCTGTGACTTAGGAGAACTCACAACATTCTTGGACCTGATGCTGGAAGGAATGACTTCGATTATTGTAGGCGCAACTTCAATCACCCTCAAGGAGAGCTACCACTCACTCGGTAAACGGTCGCTTGTGCTTGCTCTGAAGGTTAAGCCAAGAAAGTCCCAGCAGAACAGCACCACCAGTCGCTGCTATGGGAATGTAACTGCAAAGCTAGGAGATGGGTGAGTCCCTTTCTGTGGAAGACCTTTAATGGAGTACTTCAAAGCACTCCCACAAGATGCAACAAATAGGGCATCACACAATACCCAGGCTTAATACTCACAGGCATATATATAGATACTGAAATGTTGTACACTGACTTACGCCCTTCCCACAGCTACAGATAAGGCCTCGCAAAGTTGGGCCTCAGAGACACATCAGGAACCAAGGTAGACCCAGCAGGTGGCCGGAGCCTGTGTTCTACTTGGGAGGAGAGACGTTCCAACGTGTACCTTGTTCAGAGATGGTGTGGTTGCGAGAACAGAACCCACTACATTTCTCAGGCAAAAGGGGAGTTAATTATAAGGACGTAGGAGCACAAAGTTCAAGTGCAGAGATACCTCCAGGCTGCACACATCTGGGAGTGGGGCCTGGCAAGCCAAAAGAAGCCAAAGTTTGTCCTTGCCTTCTGTCCCCTCTTTCTGAAGCAACATAGCCCTTTATGACGGTGGTCATCTTTGCTCGCCTTTGTTTTTCTTTTTCTGTCTGAAGCCAGCTTTTCCTGTTCACTCATCCCTTGATTAAATATGGCATTCCAGCTTCACATCACATTTCTAATTCAGGACCAACAGAGACTGGTTAACCTGTTGCCATCCAACCTCCAATCGCAACAGGGAATTTGATTTCGCTGCTTGGGCCAGGGTTCAATAGTCTGGGCCAGGGGACTGGGACTATCTAGCACACAGCCAAAGTGACTGACCTGATGGGGCAATCTCACACGAATGGGGCCGTTTCTTGGACAGACATCCCAAGGGCCACTATGATAGTGGCTTCTCTAAAAGAGAGGGAGGAATTGCATTCTGTTTCCCAGTGAGTTAGAGGAGGCCTACCTACTACATCCCAAGGCAGGTGGCATGGTAGAAATAGGCCTGAAAGGGAGGTCAGGTTCTAACCTTCTCCTCTCTCTGAGGCTCAGCTGCTGCCTTCTGTAGAATAAAACGGGTTGGTCTGTAACAAGATTTTCAAAAATGTATAGTAGTGGAACTTTACAATTTGACATGGACATGCAGAGATTAAAAGCAAATAGATTCTTGATGATGTCAGGTGGGGAACTTAGCTCTCCATTCTGTGATTCCTTCCTCTGCAGGCCCTCAAAGCAACTCCATAAACACAGAGCTGCCAGAGCCAATGTTTTGGAGCACCCTGGGACGTATGAACTCTAGCATAATGTCCAGGAGAAAGTACATAAGATTCCACTTAGAGCCAATCTCAGCTATCTATCTGTCTGGCTGTCTACCTATCATCTATCTATCTATCTATCTATCTATCTATCTATCTATCTATCTATCTATCTATCTATCTATTATCTATCTATCTATCATGTACCTCCTATCTACCTATTATCTACATACCTACCTACTCAATTATCATCTAGCTAGCTAGCTAGTTACAACTTTTTCTTTTCTACAAATGAGCATGTTGTCTGAATAACAATCTCTGAATGTCCAGTCCACTTCATTCATTCAGTCAACACAAATTTGCTTAGCAATTTGTATGTCCCAGGTCCAGGGACCTGGGTACAATGATTAATTAGATGTAATCCCTTCCCTTGGAAGATTCACAATCCTGGCAGAACCCAAACTCACACAGAGGCACTCACAGACAAACCACCAACACACATACCCACTTACCCCCAAACACAGGCCTGTATGCCCAGAGGCGTCTATCCACACCAACACACACATTCTAACAGACACACACATCAACCTCATGTGCCCAAAGGCACAGAAGCACATGCAGAAAGCCTCAGAGACCCTCAAGCCAGCCACTTACATATTTATTGTCATGAATTACTTTGTGACAACCAATATTTGTTAACACCCCCTATGTATAAGGCATTATTTTAAGTACATGTTGGACATTATTATCATTCCACCCTCACATTAGACATGGAAGTTAGCCACTACTATTACCTTCAATTTAGTGATGAGTAAACCAATGCTTTAAAAGGATAATTACTCAAAGGCCTATGGCTTTTAAATGCTGATTTCAGGGCTTGAACCCAGGTAGCCAGACTTTAAAGCAAATGCTCTTAACTAGACACTGTATCTTGCCTCCATTTATAGACAACACTTAACACACACACACACACACAAACACACACACACAGTATGGCACCCATATATACATATGTACATGTTTATAACATATATGCACCCACTTGCAAACAGGTATGTGGACAGACACATGCATTTGCCAGCAAAGGCCCTCACACATACACAGGCATTAATACTCATGGGCATATAGATGTTGACATGTGTGCACTGACTTATGCGTCATGATTTAGATGCAGACACATACATGGAACTTCACATATAACTTACTACAGGAAAAAAAACCATAGAGATACTCCAATACTCACACACACATACATATGGCTGCACATGCACGCATACATATGTATACATAAACACACACATACATACCTATAAGACACAGGATCTGGATCCAACTTTCCAAGAACCAGGATTCCTGCCATGTTTCTCCCCCATCAGCTTACATCTCCCACCCCTAGTGCTGTTCAGCTGGGCTCTGGGGCAAGATAAATTCCAGCTGCAGAGGGCTCAGTGAAATAGGGCCTGGACCCAGCATCTGAAAGTTCTGGAGAATAAGGATGTTGGGGATAGCAAGAAGCAACCTGAAGACTAGTCTTCCATACTAAGGAATACTGGTCTCTCAGGCCTGAAGAAGCCTTTGCAAGCAGCTGGTAGAGGATGCCAAGTGGCTTAATTAAAGAACTTCAACTCTTCTTGGGGAAACAGAATGAGGATACCAGGCAGCAAAAGCTTAGTAGTGTAAGACTGAGACAGACATTGCAGGACTCAGAGAAGGGAGACCTCAGTCCAGCCTGAGAGAAGAGGGAAGGACTCAATCCCAGTCCCTTCATTTCATGGATGGAAATTGAGGTCCAGCAAAGACAAATGGCATATCCATCCTTAATGACCAGGCGGGGATGAAGTGGGTAGGGAGAAAGGTAAAACTGGTCACCTGAAGGAAATTTGGCATGGGAACCCCAGAGGATAAACCCCACCCATCCTAGCCCATTCCATAATCTCTCCCCACTCCGTTCCTCTCTTTCAGCCTCTTTCTCCTGTGAAGGGCCAGAAATCACCCTCATGTTTTCTATGATATTAGATTCTCCCTTCTAAAACTCTACCATATTCATCCACCTTTCTTCAACCCCACTGAATCTGATCTTTTCCAGGCTACTGTCATCTCTCACCATAACCGCCATAATAGCTTCTGAAGTGGCCTTTCTCCAGACTCACCTCTCTCAATCCATTCTCTACTCTGCAGCTAGTGAGCATTTAAAACAAAAGTCACTTTCTCCTTTAGATCACTCCAGAGGCTCTTTACCTTCTATAGGATGAGTTCTGCCTGCTTACCTGAGAGATAAGGCCTCTCCAGCCTTAGTCCTTAAACATATCCCCTTCATAACCCAGCTTCCAGTGCCACGGAATTTCTCAGGCTCCCTGAGCTATTCTGTTGTGCTCTACCCTACTTTTATGTGCTGTTTTTGCTGCCTGGAGGGCCCTTCCCCTCACTGGGATTATTTCTCCTATGGAGGCTTCCTGGCTCCCCCTATGCGGTGTAAAGTAGGCAAATCAATCAATAGAAAATAGACCCAGAAATGACAAATAATAGAATCAGCAGACCAGAAAGGCTGGTCTAATAAATACATTCCAGTTTTTTCAAGAAAGTAGAGAAAAGCATGAGCATGATAAGGAGAGAAAAGGAAGATATATATTTACAAAAACTATTACCCTACTTTATGACCTCTTCTTTACAAACTTTTTTTTTTTTTTTTTTTGAGATGAAGTCTCACTCTTGTTGCCCAGGCTGGAATGCAGTGGCGTGATCTCAGCTCACCACAACCTCTGCCTCTCCGATTCAAGTGATTCTCCTGCCTCAACCTCCCGAGTAGCTGGGATTACAGGTGGCTGCCACCACGCCTGGCTACTTTTTGTATTTTTAGTAGAGACGGGGTTTCACCATGTTGGCAAGGCTGGTCTCGAACTCCTGACCTCAAGTGATCTGCCTGCCTTAGTCTCCTAAAGTGCTGGGATTACAGACATGAGCCATTCTATAGACTTTTATAATCACATGTAGCAGCTGCATCTGAAATTATGTTTTTACATCTGTCCCACCTGCACCCTTCACCCCAGACTGTTAGTTCCTTGAGGACAAGGATTTTGTCGCATTCAAACATTATTGGTCGAATAAATGAAGAAACAGGCTGCATCCTTTCTCTTTATCCTTTTACTTCCTCAATCATCCTGCTGTTATCTTCCAGAAGGAGAGGAAACAGCTTCACAGGAAAAGTAGAGGAGATTTTCCCACTTGAATAATTATGGTGAAAGTGCCAAATCAGAATGTGAAATAGGAATTCTGAGCTCTGCACCAGACACTGACTCCCATGCTGTTAGCTGATGTTAAAGAGGATGGATTTCTTTTCGCTTAGGTCTCACTTTCTGTGCCTTCAGGGGAAGTTGGTTGGAAGTTTGAATGGTTTGTTGTTGTTGTCGTTGTTTTGTATTAAGGAGGGCTGTAATGTAACCAATACAATGGTTATTGATGGACAGTAAGTTGAGAGAAGCTGAAGGGT